GTCATCGCCAAGCGATGCATGCGCTGGGAGCAGTTGTCCCGTCTTCCGTTACCGCGCGTCTTCATGCCGTCCACTGTAGGCATCTGATAACCTGCACATCTAATATCTTGGCAACCTTCCAACGATTTTCTTCAACTGCGCATTTTTGCTTTCTAGGATGCATATTGGCATTGAACGTCGTCGTTATGAAATAAATACAGTATTAGACCCATGCTCATGTTGAAAATGGGGTTTTGGCATCCAGAAGGTTGCTTAGGGCACCTCAGTAGCACTTTTTTCCCATTCAAGGCTGAGCACTTTGCAAGTCATTGACTTTTGATTAACTATTATTCCTTAGAAGTGTTGGATATAATGCGTTGCGTTATAAAATGAATTAGGTTCAATAATTCTCTACTAATTTCAGTCTCGATCAGGAAACACCAAAGGTGTAAAATTTATTCAGTCTGAAATTCCTGCGATAAAATGGCCGATGAGGAGCTGAAGAAGGTATATGTTACCCTTACATTAGTTCTGAACATCTTCTCAAAAATCGTTTCAGGCTTTCCAAGACTTGCAATTCAAAACGAATGAAACTAAAAACTTAATAGCTCAAGGAGAAATTACGAAGAAAGTGAATGCGCAGGTAATTTCTTTGGCCGTCGAAGTTCATTATTTTTCTTCCTTCATTCATGAGATGAGGGATGGTCTACAGACTGTGGTTGTCATACTGAGCGAATGAGACAGATGTAGGAGATCGTCGCTTCGAGTCCAACTGCGTTGAAGGGCAAATATGAAGTAGTTTTTGTATTGCGTGCTCATCTTGTACCTCTCAGGGCCATGTCCTCCTTTTCAGCCGCTTTAGGGTTCATCACTGGAAGATCCCTGTGAAATTGCAAGAGTGAAGAGCCTGGAAATACAGACGGATGATTCTGAAAACTCTTTCTTGTATACCGCTCGCTACCTATTCCCAACAATCTCCACAGCGTAGTGCTTCCAGGCACTCATACAGACGAATACTGGTCTTGTAACTCACAACAGGTCATCTTATTCGAAAACATGGAAAGTTTTATTCAGATAAAGCGTAAAACAAAAGAGATAAAAGGTAACATTTTGACTTTATATGAAGTAGATCCCTCTTTCATCAATGACCCACTCGCAGTGTCCGAGCGTTTAGACTGCTACCGTTTTTCCAACAAGTGCGAGTAAATTGCTCTTGATGCCAATTTTGACGATCGACAAATGGTCGTAGCGTTTTGCCGTGGACAGTACCTTCGATTGACCAGAACAGATGAAATTGCTTGGTTGTATGGTCGGGAGAACAAGGTGACTGAACCCAGCTCTCAGGTTGCTTTCGTTCGACTGCTGACCAGGTAAAAGGTTCTCCGGGCTGGCCATTTGGCGAGCTAGGTGGTGGCCTTTTGTAGTTGTTGTGCACCATTCCGTTTGTCATCGAGCGAATAGCGCTTATGCACACGGACGATTTTGTCCTTTGCAGCCGCTCCAAAGCTACAGTGAAGGAATAATTTGATTTTCCGCTTGGGTCAACGTAAGTCCTCGTAATTTAGTGCATTCATTCAAGCTAACGCTTGTGTGCCTCGAGTACAAGACCACACATATTTCGTCTAGGGCCACTGTGTTTCGCAGTCATGAATGACGCCTCAAGTTCGACTCTGCGTTAGCGCTCTACAGGAAAACACGGGGATCCTACTAATCATCCTCAAATTTTCTGACATAACTCTGCCAACGCTTGCAGAAGGGATGTCAGTCTCGCGCAATGGTCCAGTCTTTGTGATCAGGCATTCAGCGCTTGACTTTATCCACCCGCTTTTCTTGTGCAGAATGAATATTATGGGACCCGCCTGGAAAGAACTTCTTTCGCTCCTCGTTTCTTCTACATTCCGTTCTCATAGCCCTTTTATACACAACTGTTCGTCCTGCCTAGAATGAATTTGAACAACGCACTTTCATAGCCGATTCGATAACCCACCGCTGATTTTGACCGCTCAGGTTCCCTTTCCGTTTCCAGAGTTTCAGACTTTTCTTCTGTGGCTATGTTGCCATATTCATCAAACATAGCTGAACGTCCCTGCTTCCTTACTAAATAGGAGCCCACCGCCTAACCACCCCCTGCTTTCCTGTTATTCCTTTGTATGATTGCACGTGTTTGAATGAGTTGGCCTATGAAATTCAACACATTCCGGACAGCCGTTGTGCGAGAATCTCCACATATTTCGTTACTTTTCAAACCGATAATCAGCAATTTCATCTGTTTTTTCACTTTTCTATGAGATATTTGTATTCTATGCCTAAAAACATGTTCTGATACCTTTGGAGCATGAATAAGATGCCAAATAGACCATATGAAACGGCGCAGAGAGACAAATGTATGACACACCATGTGTGTCACGCGGTCCGGAACGTGTTAAAAGAGTTGAGGGTGAGTGGAAACATGCAAGAGTTTTAAGAAATGGCGTTCTTTGGAATTAGTATTCGGTAGCAGTGAGGAGTCAATGTTTTCTGACAGAAAGTCATTGCATGTTGCTTTAACACCTGAATAGTCAGGCCCAACAATCTTTCATTCAGAAGCAGCGAATGTCGGAGTTGTCCGCGGCGAGCATCACTGAAGTGCCTGATTCTCTGATTCTCATACTGTCTATATCGCGCCCGTCGAGTGTTGTCGGATGTTTCTAATAAGTTACAAAGAAAACCGACCGGTCGCCACCCATAACGCAAGAAAGCACTGTGAATTACAAGTAAGGTTGCTGTAGTGGCCATACTCTTTTCTTTTTTTATTTTCTCCGTTCAGACTCACTTTGACGCAGTACATGCTTCGAAATTTTGCAATTTTTCAGTTCAGGCTTAGCCGAAAATCAGGACAGGCTTTCTCATTGGGTGGTTAAATACAGCACTTTCATCGGGACTTACGGTCAAAGTTCTGTTAAGGGTGTAAAATATCGTAACATAGTATCGTTCTTTTCTATGGTCCCGGAGAGCAGGACTGGAACAATTAGGAGTTTTTGCTTCAGTATCCGCGAAAGGGGTTTGATCCAGATCTTTTACTGTGAGGCGGTGCACCTAGCTGAGTAAACTCATGCTTACCAAGAATCATCTTTTCTTACTTAAAATCAGAAAACCGTTTCTATGCTTTCGAATTTTCATCTCACCAGGAAAGGTCAACAGGTCAGCCTGGCCATTTGCAATGAGATGCACATCACTGTACTCATCTTGACACGGTGAACTCAGAACTGTCTTCAAAATTTGCAGAACGATTCTCTGAGCGGAGTTATGGAGGTTTTTCTTTACTGTTTTTCTTCTTCCGGGCGCGGCAAAACAGGTATCATATTCGTGTTTAGGGGGTCAAATAACCCCTAGAGACGTCACCTTAGCAAAATCTGAGCTTCTGACTCAACTTCGAAAAATGGGGTATGGATAGTCATGGCTGACTGATAGAACAGCGATACTATGACTAGCATACTGGTGATGACTGGTCTTCGAACTGAAATAACTCTTCAGTCATGTCTTTTCGCAAAGTACCTGGCTTACTTATTTGTGCCGTCTGCATCATTTTCTTGACTATCGGGAGGAAATCCCATTCCGAGACCAGTCATCGATGGTAGGTGAGCTCCAATCTGCTGCTAATTACCCATGGAATAGCCCACATTTCCCAAGTGAGGTTTTAACCCGCTGAACATGAATATGATGGTATTTCATTGCAAAAACCCTTGTGACACGTGTTACGAGGGGTACAAGCAGAAGCACTCTTTCAGGCCACAATGGGTCTACACTTTCAAAAAAAACTGATCGCAGGTTCCCTTATAGGGTAGTGCAGGCGAGCAGAGATGTTAGAAGCTTTGTCGGCTATGTTCTTGGACAAATGCAAAAAGAGCGACATGCCACGAGCCGCATCCTACCACGTCATTCTCGCTCTAAGAACCCGCTTCCTACCTGTTGCGCTCTGCTACAACGTTTCAGAAGGACTACATACACATTTGAACACGCTTCCACGTTTCCTCGCGATAGCAAAACGACCATAGCCGGGGAATAAAACCTCCATCTCACCAACTCGTTCAAGAAACGCTTCTTGCAATTTTGTAAACAGCTCGAGCTTCGTCGTCCCAGGACGCAGTACAATGGTGGGCCGGCCAGCTCACTGGAAATTTTGCCCGGCTGACTCTGATTTGGCCTTTCGTTGTCAGTATATCCCGTGAAAAGAGCAACATTCTTGTTTATTCCTGTTGGACATTTATTTACCAGAATTGCTAAGAGAACAAAAACATCGAGTTCACAGGTCTCGGCAAGATGCGGGAAGTGAAGAAACTGGCGACCAGCAACTATCCTCCTCCCCCTCACTGCCAAGTGCCCAAAAAATGAAACGAAATACAATCCAAAAAGCTGTTGTTTTAATGTGATAATTGCTTTTGAACGGGCAGTACGCATTTGAAAAGTTATCGCTGGAAAGCTGAGTTATGGGCACCCAGACCCCCAGACGGAACTCGAACGCGCATTTTCCGCTGGCCGGGCGAGTGCGTTATCCATTGGGCAACTGTTACCGTTCCTTCAATAGCTTTTTGTGGGTAAGATAATACAAAAAACCCGGTGGCGTATTGGATAACGCACTCACACGGTCAGTGGGAGATGCGGGTTCGACTCCCGTCTGGGGTTTGACTTTGCCCGTAATTCAGTGCTCCTGTGATAACGAAACGCAGTGTTGAAAATCACTGCGGTTCAATCTGTTGTAAACTAGTTGCTGAAACGAGGTTAGCTGACATTTCTATTCTTATCTTTTTTGGACGGGTCGGCGCCATTTGTTTTGTTTAAAATTCTTATAAAAATATTTTTTTGGTTAATCATCATGTGTTCGAATGACGTGAGCGCACCCAGGGCACAGCCTGCCGGGGGAATTTCGGCAAAACGGCCCCCCAGAATTTGCTCCTATGGATCCTTCCACTTCCCCTTTTCCACCTCTATCCTACCTACCATCTTCCTAAATTTTCTCAACTTCTACAATTTCTTTCGGGTTTTTTTTCCGAGAATTCCCCATTTTTTCGCCAAGAAAGTGCTGATCACGAGGTTTGAAATAGGAACGATCAAGAAAACTCAACAATCGGGACAATCGGAAACATTCTTCCGAAAAGCGGACTCTCCCCCTACTTCGAGCGACCAAATGCGATCTTCGCTGATTTCCAACGTACAGCATGCCCTGGACGCAGTGCACATAACTGCCGGTTTTCTCTCTCTACTCTCTTGAATAATTGCTTGTTGATGAAAATGCAACAGTTTTTAGGAATACTTTATCAAAGATTATCTGTTGCATTGACAGCAGAGCTGACTAAGCATAATGTTTCGGGTTTTTTTTTTCTAGTCAAACCTCAAGTAGTACCTGGAATTTGCCTAAGGGTCTTAGCCATGTATTTGTGACTGCATACACTATGAATTTTATGTTGTAGGCAGAAAGTGGATGCTTTTGCGAAGCAGAAAGAATACCTGCAGCGAGGCTTGGAAGAAGCGG